TCTAGCGGTTCTTCCTAGTACTCCGCTTACATGCGTTTGCGAGAGAAAGCACGAACTGTGGACCACTGCATTTTTCGAAATTATTTCCAGTGACAGGAAAGAAGAAACTGTTTCTATGATAAACAGTAAATGAAAATATGTAACCAGGGAATACGAGTGGTATTAAACGCGCTTTTGGAAAATTATATATAAACCGCATGCTAAATCCGTCGGAATAGGGGGTCTCCGCTAGGACTCCTGAATGTGAGATCTTCAGAAGGAGTACGCGCAGTTGCTTCACGCAGAGCAGAAAGTCTTCTTAAGTGCACAGACTTTTTTTTTGCGGTTTTCGGTTCCTGCCCCCCCCCCTCCGCCGTGTGCCACTTCCAAACCGCGGAGGCGCGTCCCGCCAACACAACACGCGCGTCGCTGTTCCCGGAAACGACGTTTCGCTTTCCGGTCGCTGTCTTGGCGGACGCTGCGCGGAAACGATTCGATTACCAAAATAATTAACTTAATTAGTTTGCTGATACAAAGCAAAAACATATAATAATTAATTAGCTTCTCGTTTTTCGTATCTGTCGTTCATTCTCCGGACGTAGGATGTTCTGAAAACTCGAAAACCTATATCTGTGCATCACAACGATTCTCTAATGTATTATCCTCAATCCATAAACTGAAGAAATGTTATGGATGGTTCTTAAAAACGCAAGGGATCCAATGGAGAAAAAATTATCTTAAAAGAGGTCGATGAAAGCAAAATATAGAAAATCCGTAAATTAGATACTCAACTCATCATCTCTACCCTTACTTATGAAGATAGGAATTTAACGCAGCTGCACATTTTTTGTGAATGGTCGTTCGTTTCGTAACATTTTTCTGAAATGATAAATTGGTGTAATCAAAATATTTTAGCGTCGTTCATTAGTCATAAAGTCAACAATACGTGAGAAAAATATCATGAAGATATTCTCGAATTGCAGGACACGTGTACGGATTTTCTGAGAGTCTGCAATTTCCTATCTAACGAAGAGGACCAAAAGCACGTTGCTTGACACAGCTTATGCTGCTCTGACATTGTCACTGTCAGTAATCCCCTAATTTACTGTCCATATATTTGTCAATATATTGTATTATTTGTAAATTAATATGCCTGCATATGCATATAATTATCTTGGCATATTTTAATTACCATGTGCACCTTATTAAATTTAATACATCAATTAAATATGGCTTTGGTTTAGCAGCGTAGCTTCAGTTGGTGTCACCCAGGGCAGAACTATTGGCAGAATTATATTTCTCAAATCCTGAGTAGTTTATACATTATTTAATAAAAATACAAATATATTTGCCTATTACATTTATTTATAATATATTAAAAACTGTATGTAGTTGAAAATAATCGGAAAATAATTTTTAAATAAATAATTATGTATTTCCAAGTATAATCATTTTAAATTAATGTCACCCCAAAATGAAGTCACCTGGAGGGTACGGCCCCTGACCTCCCCTAACTACGCCTTGGTTTCAAAGGAAAGTCCAGGGTACAAACTTTTTTAATGTTCCATTCATGACATTTTGCGTGCAAGAGCCACGCATGTTTGTCAAAACTGTTTGCTCATTTTCACTGCAGGCGCTTAACATCAACAGCACTCAGCACTCTGTTCAGCTTTGCGGTGCATTTCGGAAGTAGAACGTTCGATAACATTGTAAATGGCTGTTTATCACAGAACTAGTGATAAGTGGCATTTGCTAAGATTATTTCACGAATGAGCATAAAAACAGAAATTGGAGGTGCAAAAGAAGAAATCGCAGGTTAAGAAAAAGTCAAAAGAATTCGTATCGTTCGTGAAATAGACCTACATAGTCAGTATTGTAAAACGTTTTTTCGCAAACAGCTGCATTAAAATCACAATAATTTACCTCTGATTGGCTTTTAAGAAATCGAATTTTTATACTCTACTACAGGAGTGAACCAAGTTGTTTTCTAGCAAGGAATTTTTTTATGAGTAGTGAATATAAAATATATTTTTATTTCTTGAATTAGAGTTAATATGTATAATGATAACAATTGATATAGTGAATGACTTTCGTTACCATAAAAAATTAGTGAAATATACATTTTTCAATAAGAATCATTAGCTGCTGCAGGGGGGAGGCTGAAACTCTACCCTCCCTTTGGTGTCCTCGTGTTATATCGGCAGAATTTACACGGTCGAAGTAGTGAATGCAATGAGTTACCACCCACTTGCCCGGGCAGTTAATCAAGGGCTGAGTAGGAAGCCTCGCGAACTTCTGTTCCACATTCATAGTTCGTGTTACATTCCCTAACACAAATAACCTTCCCGTGCCTCAGAGGCCCCCCGGAGATAACTTTCTTCCCGTTCTTTTCGGAGCGTTATCGCTGCGTGCGACGCATTTGCGAACCCCGGCGGGCGATCGCGTCTCGCTTCCGGCACCTGGCCCTCCGCTTCCGGGCGCCGGCGCCGGAGAAAGGCGGCGAAAACGACGTTAAAATCCAATTTTGCTGCTCACCCCCCCCCCTGCCACCGCCGTCACCCCCTCCACCGCCACTCTGCCACCGCCTCCGCCGCCACTCCCCCTCTCCAGGGATGCTGGCGGATCCAGGGTGGGGCCATTGGGTCACGCCCCTCCCCTCACAGGCCAAGAGTTTTCGTTTATCTTCTTTTATTTGGCGAAATTGATTAAAATATTCATCTACGTTCGAACTACGTATTTAAACAATAGTATTGTATAGTATCATATCTACAGGATATAAATAGTATATAATATAATAACAAATTCGGTTATTATTTAACAAAAATCTACGATGACGCAGAGCCTTTGCAGCCCCGCCGTCACACATCTCCCTTTCCATCACCCACCGCCTCCGCTGTCACCACGTCATCCCACCACTCTGACATCACCTCCACCGTTATCCGCTATCCCACCACTCTCCCACCGCCTCCGTCCCCGATTCCACCGAACCACCGAATTAGCGTTCGCCGCTACACAGTTTTGCCTCATCCCCCACCCTTAGTCCCCCGTTCCTCGCTGTCTGATTGATTAGTCATTCCGGACACTGCAACTGCATTATTACTGGAACTGTAGTGCGTGTTTTTCCTGGAGTTGTGATGTGTTAAATGGTGAAATCTGGCGCCGATCTACCCGTCTGCTTGCGGGGCTTTGCTCACCCAGGTATCTCCCAGCAGCGAGGCACCGCCTCAGCTGGGACAAGCTCTAAGCTCCCGTTTTATTTCCTGACATGTGTGGTAGTGTAGTGCATGTTAGTGTAAGTAAGGGGGTGAAGAAAGGACAAGAAAGACGAAGAAAGGATCGCGCGCGGTCCGTGGTCTGTTTGTTAGGGTACTGCTCCGGCATACGCCTGATAGTTATTGAAAAAAGCAACGGAAATCTATCGCTCAGAGCAGCCGGCCGCTAGAATTCTTCCCCACACAGCAGCTGAAATTGACTTAGCTACGCAGCTAGGTATAAAAATCCTGCCACTGTCGCGAGTGGAACCCTAACTCGTTGCGATCAGAGACACTGCAATGATAGCAGTTGCTGCCCTGGGCTAGTGTGTGCTTGAAGTGGTTGTGTCATTCCTCGCCTCCCTGCCCCAGTCACCGCCACCGCCGACGTCACCACCTGCTCCTCCGTCGCCGCTCCATCCTCGCCTTCAATGCCGCCCCACCGCCGTCCCCATTCTATCACATCCCGCCCCCCCCCCTCGCCCTCTCTGGTCGTAGATTCGCCAATACCGCTTCTGCCTCGCTGACTCTACCGTCACTGAAATATGGAAAGTCATCGCTGTCCTCACCCACGTTCTCGCGACCGCCTGCATCTCACCTCCTCCTCCACCAACCCCCCCCCACCTGCACCTCCTCAGACGCATCTTTCACCACCCCACACCTCCACCTCCACCGCCCCTCACCCACTCCGTAGACCCCGCCGCCCGCCGCCGCTCGCCACCGCCGCCACCGCCGTCTCGCAACAGTCGTCACCCTCGCCCTGCCTCGCCCCCCACCCTTGCCCCAGCCCTCACCACAGGCAACTCGCCCCAGCCCTTGCCCCCGCCTCGCTCACGCCCTCGCCCTCGCCCTCGCCCTCGCCCCGCCCTCGCCCCCGCCCTCGCCCCGCCCTGACCTCCGCCTCGACTCCGCCCTCGACCTCCGCCCTCGCTCCAGCCCTCGACATCCGCCCTGCGACTCCGCTGACTCCGCCCTCGACTCCCCCTCGACTCGCCCTCGATCCGCCCTCGACATTCGCCGCGGTCGCCCCGCTCTCGCCCCTGCCCGTCGTCAACCGACGTTGCCCCCCTCGCCTCCAGTCTCTCGCCCTCGTCACCGTCCTCACCTTTTTCTCTGACCTGCGTCATTTTCGCTCGTCAAGTACTCACCCTCGCTCTCTGCCCACCTTCCTCTACCACCACCGCGCGCCCCACCTGTCCCCCGTGCCTCCGCTTCTACGCATCCCTTTGCCCGCCCACCACCTTCAACGCCCCACCCCGCCCCCTCGCCGTCATACTCGCTGCGCCGTTTCAGGCCGCCGGCCGTGCCTCCCCCCCACCCCACTCCTCTGGCGTCGTAGTTATGAAAAGGCGCCGTCGGGGCGGCCAGCGGCCCGGAGGCGGCGTGTTTTGGCGCGGAGGGCGGGGCGGGGCGATAGGGAATTTCGCAATTTCGAGTTTATTTACTGAGAATACACGGCGCGTGGGGCCGGGCTCACGCTTCGAGCAGAGCGACTGCGCTGAGGAGTTGGCGCCGTCCCCCCCCTCCCTCTCCCCCCATGGCTGCCCCACGGCGAACGGGCGCTGACGGGCAGGGCGAGCTTCTCGCCCCTCGTCCAAGATGCACGCGCCCACAGCTTAGAATACACTGCGGGGAACGCCGCTCAGCGGGCTGTATATACGAGGGTTGGGCCACAAGTCATGGCAACTGCTTTGTTTTTCCTAGAACAAATGTTATCGGCCCACAAAATTTTATTTGTCACGTGAAAGAAATGCTGTACAAAACAAAACAATGTCTGCTCACAACGATCATGCAATTGTTTTTCCTAAAAGAAATGTTATCGGATCACACAATTTTGTTTACCGCATGAAAGAAATTCTGTACTACGAAGGTGTACGATTCTGTACCCGTAAGGTGTGTTCACAACAACAGTTGACTCTGTGAATGGCTCTATTAGCGCAGAGAACAATACGAAATCAGTTGGCTGGCTTCCACCGTGTCGGATGAATTAACCCGTATTCTGCTCCTGCGATTGCGAAATATCGGCCGGAATTATCTCGGAATTGTAAATCAAATTTCTCCAAGTCAGTGTCGTAGCGGACACATGCCGAGACTTGAGGGAGGACGTTTTTACAATAGATTGATAATAATATTCAAACCAGGACATGGAACAAACCCATTCTCACGAGAAAATGTTTCATCTATTAGAATGTTTCCAAAGCGTAGTGTAAAACGTGACCAGTAGCATGTGATGTATAACACACTGCGACAGCGATGGACTGAAACTAATTAATTTCAGAGAAATGATAGTCATCTTTCTTTATGTTCTTTTTACATGGATGGTCGTGTTTTATTGTAATAACGAAATATAATATTGCATCATACGAAACAAATGGTTTTCTGAAAAAATGTTTGAAAAATGGAATGAAATATATGTATATAATAGTAATAATAATAATAATAATAATAATACCAGTAATAATACCAATAATAATAATGGGCTGCCATTTTTAGAGCGTTACATTGTTTTTTATAAAACTAATAATAAAAAGTGTAAATCTCTTATTGTTTACGATCTTATTGTTGCGAAACATTCTAAAGTAAATAAAATGTAAGTACAAATAGTGTTTTAACTGCGTCGTACTTGATGATGGGTTTACTACATTTTTTCTTCACTTGATTTAGTTACACATACGAAAATTTAGATCACAGTAGACCCCATTTCTACTTCATGGCCGTGAAAATATAATGGTTCAAATACGCACCTGAATAACTTTCTTTTCTGTTTTCACTACGTTCATTTACAACCTGCTTCTTACAACTGTTTTTTCCTAACAATACATATATCATCGCTTAAACTGTCTCTTGATTCTCTATTTTTATTGAATCTTAAAAATACTTTGAAAAAGCTTAATAGCAAATAATACGTCTTTAGTGGCTTACCATATAATGGCAGAGTAAACTAACCTCATCAAACACCAAAATAAGCACAGTCCTCGGCGTTGTTAAAATTATACAGCCACACAAAAAGGGAAATTGTGTTCATGTATGGAAATGAGGCCGTGTTTTCTCTGGTTTTGGGATCGCTAAATCCGAATCCGGTGTCCATTATAAATCATATTTTTGACATAACCTCAAAAAATATTTCTTTAAATGTTTCTAACCGAGGGGTCAAACCATGTTACCTATATGTTTTGGGGGTCACTGAAACCTAATCTAAAGTTCACTTAACTTCATCACATAATTTTTTCATATAATCTCAAAAAATAAAACAAAATGAAAAACTGTGTCTGTTTCGAGAGGCGGCGAGTAATCTGGTGTCAATGATGTAGGTAAGCTGCCATACAACGTGATGTGTTTGTCCCGTCAGATCTCTATCAATTATAATTGATCTGAATTAAAAATATGATGTGTTGAAGTTAAATGGACTTCAGATTCGCTTTCAGTGATCCCCAAAACATATAGGCGATATGGTCTGACCTATCTGTTAGAAATATCTTCCATTTTTTATATTTTATGAGATTATGTCAAAAACCTGATCCGATGGAGTAAAATTGACACCTGTTTCGACGTTAGGGACCCCAAAAACATTCATAAATATGGTCTGATTCCCAGACACGATCACATTGGTTTTCGTGTGGATGTGTTATCATCGTCAATTCAATTTCAGAGGGATAGCATTAACGTTTTGTAGAGTTATAAATAAAATGATAGTACGAGCGTATACAGATACACACCCTTTTTACATGGATATCAATGAAGTGTGTCTTTATTTGCAGAATTGAGGACGGTTGCGATTTGATCATAAAAGCTTGATAGATATCTCTGATAACAGAAGTACCTCCTTAACGGTCGTAGACTTCGAAGCCCACCTGGTGGATGTCAAAATGTACGGTCGTTGGCTTCAAAGGATTAATAAAGTGAAGAAACCTTTAAAAATCACTCCTCTTTGTTCTGTCTCAAGACACTACATCTCTTTGTGTACCTCAATGTATGTTGAAGTAATCGAAGTTGAACATTGTAAATCACAATTTCAATGTTCATTATCGCAAACGTTCGACAAAGATGATACAAAGCGAACACAGAACGATAGCAACCGGGGCGAGTGCTGTTCACTGCCGTGTGGAAATTTATCATCGCAACGCCAACACACAGTGATCTCACCGCTCGCAGCTGGCGCAAACGTCACGCGCTGTTATCATCGGGCGAGAAATGTGACAATCACGCGAACAAAGCGCTGCCGAGTGCGTGGGAAGGAAGCAACGAAAGGCACGGAGGCAGCCGAGGAGACCTGCGCCGTGCGCGGTTCGCGTGTGCAGCAGGCGTGTGTGTGCGTTCGCCGTGTGCATTGGGCGTGTGCAGGGCAGTTCGGGTGCTGTGCGAACATTCATGTACTATTTAATCGCCGCCGACAGGCTCAAACATCACTCCCGCGTTCGCATCCAGAGGTCAGGGTTTCTCACTACCGGAGGTCAGTACAAGTCGTTCACCATGCCTTCTCCGTGCTGCTCCAACGGATGCAGTAAGTGAATCACTCCACATATTTTCTTACTATTTCCTTTGAATGATAGTATAAGTTATGCCATCCAATGACATGACGGCTAAGGATTTTTAAGAAATATCATTTAAAAAAAGCAATAGTTTAAAACGATATCAACATGATTACTAAAAGTAAATCAGTTTTATTTGACACCATTTAGTAGTTTTGATATTTCAATGCCACTATAAAAACTCTAGCATACTGCTTCAACGCTAGCATTTAATGAAAAATCAGTGGTATATAATGTCATATTTTTGGCAGTTATCATTTTATGAGCTAATTTTAGCCGAACTATTATTAAGAATATTTTAAAAATGCCACTCGTTAAATCATTGTACATCCCTTTCCAATAAAACTTAGCAGCGTAATTTTAGGACAGACAAAATTAGGCATCAACTGTTCTAATCAAAATTAAAATATGTCTCATGCTCTCAGAGAATTTTATAGTTTTGCCTGTGATAAAGTAATATTTTGTGTTTTATTGTATAATTGTATTCTATATTATTATACATTTAGTAGCAATGCTACTGGTTATTACCTAATGTTTAGGACATATAACCAACCCCCTGGTTTTAGCACTCATAAATCATGATATGACATCATGATTTCATTTCTTCGATGTGACTGGAGACTTCGGTGATAGTTACATCTAGCCGCAAATTTATGTGTCAATCATTCCGAAACAAAGCGCACAGAATGCAACTTGCTATTTCAAAAGTTGTTTAAACGCTTATAGCGTGTTTGGAGAATATTACCTCTGTAATATCCTGATTTTTATATGTAATTCATATTTCTGTCCTACAATTCCCTTCTATATATCCCTCTCGTAATTCCCTCCATTAGAGACAATGTAGCGTCATTGAACTGTCTCCATCTTCCACTCGTAAACACGATCCTATCAATGCAGATAAATTTTGAGTGTATACCGATCACCGTACCGAAGGCAATAACAATCAATAACTTGTTAGTAAAACAAAATTATTATGTATCTAGGGCTTTAAGTAAATGTTTTCCCTGAGAGTGACATCCAAACTCAAGGGCCCCAGTACGATAGGCAAAACATCTAGTAACGCCCGTGGTACATACAAAACTTTATGGTTTACTATTTCGTTGCTGAATCAAATAAAAATTTGAATGTTTTTAAAAGAATTGTCTTGGCTCAAAAATGACGCATTGTAATCGTTAGTTATCAATATGGTTTCAAATAAACATAACAGAATGATTATCAAATTACTGTTACATATTTGTAAAAATGGACAGTTATTGTAAAGTTCTTACGGAAATTTTCCAAAAATGTAAAAAAAATCTACTGAGAGTTCTTTTCTAGTAAAATCACGAGAAGTATTCTTTGTATAGGAGTACAGTGCACTTGACAGTTGGATGCAATATTATAGAGTGAATTGCGTAAATAAAACAGTACTTTTAGGTTATTTGCATCTTTTTCCGAAAGCTATTTAAAACATTTCAATTCGTTAAACAAATAAACACTGCTATGACGTTAGCGGGACACTTTCTACATATACTATTGTACTAGAATTCAAGAAGCATCGATGCCTATAAAAGAAAATGTAATACGTAATCATGAAATAAGAGTGAATTGTAAATTCGCGGGAACATTCCAAAATTGCAATTTTTTTGTTAATTCAATAAAATAAAGTGTTTTACAAGTTCTTTTTAAATTTAAGTGCTATGCCATATAATTGTTTTTTCCATTATTTCTTGAGTTAAATAAATCGAATTCATAGAAACAGAGTGTTATTTTTTCTTTTTTGTGATGGTAATAGAGTGGCGAAAAGGTTTCAAAAGGCCCGCATGCGCATGAACAATTCCAAAAAGCCCCCAAGGGAATTAAGTATACCATTACGTGGTTTGTTTAATCTCCATAAACAAAAGTAATGAACTTGCGAACCCTGAATAAATTTCAAACGTATAATAAGTTTCCCGAGTCGTTCATTTTCCTGCATAGGAAGTTACGTAAAAAGGAATCGATTAAAAATATTTGTTAAAATATTTTGTTTCTTTCTAAAATTAGAATGAATTATCGTCAATTTGATTAATCAAGTCATAATGATTCATGAAAATATATGAAAGAGATTGTAGTAATTCACAACATCTCATTACTCGAAGGTAGATTGACACGATCAAAACACATGTGCTTTCTAGAATTCTTCCAGAATATCATAGAGGGAATCGACTTGTCGAGAGGTTTTATCGATTTGTCTTGCCGAGAGGAATCGAATGAGCAGTCTCTAGATACCGTCAGCCACTCAAATTATTATCGCTACAGTCGAACACCTCAGACGATAGTTGGCAAACAAAAAGAGAATCACCATCATGAGAAACATAATTGTTTTGCGCTGTCAGGTGATTAACTCTCCCGTCCTTATCATGAGCCATTTGTGTTCAGCCAGAGATCATCGACGAAAACGGATAATATGACAGACTGTTGTTCCGTTGACCCTGGCCCCGGAAATGGTAATGAGAACTAGTCAGCGTTAAGACCCCATTGCGTATTCAATTCAATTTACTGATGCTTCATTTTCCGTGACGAAGCTCAAGCCACGAGATCCGCTCTTCCGTCTGACCACACAAATTTCGCTACACCACCTAGCGGAGAAAGAAGATATCACTCGGGCGACGAATTTGGCGATTTTAATGTAGCTCAGAGGCTTATTTTAGGCTTGTACATGCGGTCAATTTACATCATGGGACCACCGACTTTACTTCACCTCCGAAGGAAGGCGTACAAAGAATTTGTTCGTCCTTAAAAATCCACCGTTTCGATTGGGTTTGAACTCTCAAACATAGGTCTGAAAAATAAACACTGTTTTAACAACAGAGTGTCTCAGTATACATTTTCTATTCCTATAAGACTAAGATGAAGAGCAAATTAAAACTTCATTTGTGGGAAATTTCTTACAAAGAAATTACACATGTGACATTCGCCCCTGCTTTGTAGGCAGCCCATCATACGCAAGGGTATGGCAGGTAAACGAAAGTTCATTGAGACAGCACGTGACCTGCCCAGTATTGGTGATGCGATGCCGCTGACAAAACGTCGATGTTTCTAAACATCAATGCTCAAATTTAAACCATAGATGTTAATAAAACATCGACCTCAAACCATCGATATTACTGCACATCGATGTTTTTAAACTGAATTAGTATCTATTGAATTCACGAGGCGATTTTACATGAATCTCGTCTCTTCTATTAATTTTTAATTGAGATTTAACTAAAAAACAAAGTAAAACTTCATCACGATAATTAACCAATCGTTTAATATCTGATTTGATCATTAAAAAATAAGATAGGCTTATTTACTGACGAAAATTCGATTTCATTTATTTCTCATCCTTGGTCATTTTGATCTGAAGAATGTTCAATTTATAAATATCTGAAAATGATTATGTTTAATTATGTATTAATTTTGTGATTTAAAACAATTGATCAGGTAAAACATCAAACATCGATGTTTAAAAATACATCGGCTTAAAAAAATCTATGTTAAAAACATTGATGATTTTTTGAAAACATAGATGTTACGGAAACTACATTAAGTCCATCTCTATTTAACATCATTCCATAAATAATTAATGAATAATTGGATAATTAATGAATATGGAGCAAATATCACATATGTATCATGTTAATATGAATTTTCTCCCCTCATATTCAATGGCAAAAAGTAATAATTTTCACGCCTTTACATATCGAAGAAGATTGTAACATTTACACCAACACATTCTGTACAACCCACGTCCGGGACAAGACAATAGACCGTTTTCCAAGCCTGAGCATGTCACTTGTACTTCCACCACAACACTAACAGCAGCAATTATATGTGCGGTGTTGCAGGCTGCCAGGGGGGCTCCTGCAGGTGTGACCAGACCTGCGGCTGCACCAAGTGCTCCTGCTGTGCCGGCTCCAAGTGAAGCAGTCTGCCCTTCAACCCCTAACAAAGCCGAGTTCTACCCTAACCGCAATGGTAAATATCACTGGACGAAAGATCATGTCTAATACAGAATGTCCAATTGCCACAAATACACATACGTAAAAATGTCCAAACTACAAAAAACATTAAAATAAATAAGGAGTGAAGAAAATTAACTGATTAAAATGTGCATGTACTTTCTTATGGAATGATCCGAAGAAGAAAATTATGCATATTTTAATAAAGTGCTCCCTGCTCACATGTTTCATTTGGAATTAATTGACGTTTTAAATAATGATATACCGCACACGTAACTCTCAGTAGTATTATTGGCTTTGTATTCAGTATACCTCCCCTCTATTTTGAATTTAACACTACCTAAGTTTAAACGCCAAATACAATCTGCAGTGTAACTGTTCCTTTACAATTGGAGCCTATAATGACCACCAAAAGCGAAATTATTTATTTTAAAAATGATATTTATAGAACCAGCTAACAATTTTACTGTGTAATTTTAAAAGTCTAAATGTGCCTGTAAAAAAAAAGTTTTGTTAGCGATACTATAAAATCAAATCTGCAGTTCCTTTGCCAATGCAAACACATTTTCTATAATTCAAGAGCGAAAATGTCTAGTTTTCAGGTGTTTCTAATTTACTTTGTTGGCTCTTTAATTCATCATTCACATATGTTTGGTTAAAAGATAGGGAACAGATTCCATAACTCAAGCAATACCACCCAATAACTCTTCTCACCCATACGTCACATACAGTTTTTACAGGTTTGTGATGATTTAATCAAAACCCATTATTTCCTGTTAAACTAGCACATGCTTGAATCTGTCAGCATTCGGTGTAGTTACAACTATTTAGTGTAGTTACACTTAGTAGTTGCAATGTTATTTTAAGTGAATACATCACACTTTTTTAGTATTTGTGTCTAATGAAAAACTAGTTTTTTAGTGATGTAGGTCGAAATTGTAAAATTATGTTGGGAGGTTATTTGTTTTGGATTTGATATACTTTTTCAGTTTTCATTCACAAGCACGAAGGCGTTTTACAAATAATCAAGTGAATATTAATTGAATTTACCCCTTTTGAGTTACTTTTAGACCTACCGAAATTGAGAATATAAACTTTAAGTATATCTATATGCATATTTTACCATTCTATTTACTATTATTCTTTGCTTGTTATTAGCTTTTTACAAATAAATTGCCGGAATGACCTTTAGAGACAAAGTCGTCAAATGAGAACACGAAACTCGAGAACACTTGGGTGTTATAAAACTTTGTTCCATAACACTTTATTTCTAGAATAACATTTAAGACCGAAGATTGGTTTCTGGTTGACACGTAATGATTTGGTCCCAAAAGGTCATTTCTGCTATTTATTTGTAAAATAACAAAGGAGATTTTTTAAAGTTTTTATCAGTTCATTTTACAGTTTTTTTATATTTTTTCTTCAATGACACGTAATATTTATATATCCTGATTATATTCGGGCAATATATTATGTTGCCTCATTGCATTCATACATATTTGAAAAACTCGCTCCTGATGTCTCTCGTTTTCAAAACATGTACTTATGCAATAAAACATTACATTATAAACTTATTGCATAATGTACTATTTTATGATGAACTGGGATATGATCACATCATCAATATTTGTCCGGTAGCAGTAACTAAATCTGTGACTGCCATTCGGTTTAAGATAATCCTATTATTATAACACAAATATTATAAATTATAGATTATATAACGAACATCAAGTTTTGACAATGCTAGAAAGACATTTTTTTATAACGCCCTTTATCAAATTCACAATATGTGTCGTAGACTCATTTCAAATATATTAGTTGAAATCTCTCAGGGAAGAATACCAATGAATGTGTATGCTCCGTGACAGAAATTATCAAATACTTTTTTCATTGTTGCAGGTGGCCCACAAAACTCCAGAAAATGTTCACAGTCAAGATGGTTGAAGATGATTCGCTGATTCAATGGATGGGCTAATGTTTCACCTAAAAAATCATCCATGTACTTACTAATTTATTAAAATCCTTACACAAAAGTGTTATTTTCTAGTTTAATCGTATCTTCTAAACAGCAATTAATCCACCTATGTCATTCCACAACTTTAGCAAAGATAAATACGAACTCCCAGTCCCATTATAATAAGTATTCATTAGTGGAATTAAGTATTCATTAGTAATTATTAGGAAATGCGGAGCTAGTTAATTTGACGATGAATTATTATGAGTAAACAAACTTGAAGCTAGAATGTTCTGCTTAAACACACTGTTAACAACTTTAATGTAGTATATTATAAAACCATGAGTCGAGTGCGTTAATATTCATTACATCAACTTTCATTCGGGATTTTTTTTTCTGTTTCACGATCGGCTGAGTTTAGTTTAGATCCAGCATGCCACTGCCTATGCAGCGATTCTAACTGTGATTTGAATTCTGACGGTGGGATGATAGTCTATGCTAGCTAGAGACCGCGCTATCTTTCTTTTGTCTTCCTTGACTTGTCCTCTCCCCTGGTGTACAAACTCTTACATTTACACTGTGGGACGGTGCCCCGCTGGGAGAGAGAACCGAATGGAGAAAAATTGTTAATAGAAAAGTACTTATTATTGTTCTTCGGCCTTCTTTTTGATTATCCGATGTCGTTAGCCGAATTGCTTAACTGCCCCCTTTGCTCTTGATTACTGACTCCATGCGCGTCAACTTCTAAGGTCATTAGCCCCGTAAGTGTAGTGCACGTTTTCCTCGGGAGGTGGCGGTGATCTTCACTCGCTGGATGACGAGATCCGCGCGCTTTGTGAAGTAACAGAAGTTAAACAATTCGAGACACCAAGTGTTCCTGGACACCGGTGACACCAGTGTTACTATCGGCCCTGCGCCTCTAGTTGAAGAGACAAAAGCCACTGACTGACAGTGCCGAGATGAGACACAAAGACAAAATTAGTTGACGGAGAATAACTCCACACAAGCTCAATGCCCAAGTAGTGCTAATAGACATGTTGTAAGAGAGCAAATTTTTAATTTTTTTTTAAAATAAAAAAAGGCCGATCCGATGGCCGGGATCGTTTAGACAGTAGTGCACTGGCAGTCTTGGACAAAAGGATCGCGGGTTCGAGACTCGCTTGGGGATGATTGTGTTGTAACTCTGTCTGTTTGTGTGTCTGTCTGTCTCTTTGTTTGTCTGTCTATGTCATCTTTCATCATCATCCTCATCATCATCATTATTTCATCCCAGCACCAGGGCTAGCAACCCTGGGGAATAATAATGAAATCAGCAGATCCCCCTTAAAGAAAAAGTAATGTACACCTACCCCGATAATTATGACTGAGCCCCGGTGGAATGAACGTATCGCGTCGCCCCACGATGTCTGATTCGCGAAAAAAGAAAAATGCGTGCCTGCCTTGTGGAGCGCTTCACCTCACGCAGCTCCCGAGCGCCGGTTGCCGCAAGGGAGGGGGAGGGGAGGGGTTTGGCAACACAGGACGCGCCCTCATGCGCCGCATCCTCATTGCGCATGCGCGGGGAAGGAAGAGGCGCAGACTGTGCAGCGCGTGGGAGCCTCCCGGTTGCGCTGGCGCTGGCGCTGCCTCCGCTGCCACTCCCACCGACTTCGTTGACTCGTTTCGTTTCATTCCGTTTGCAGTTCATTTATTCTCCCAAGGAACTGCTTGGGTGGTTGTAAGTGATTCCGGGCGCGTCAACTACCAGGGTCGTTAGTCCCGTAAGAGTAGTGCATGTTTTTATTCGGCCGGTGGCGGTGATTTTCCCCCGCTGCATTGCGAGATTCGGCGCCGACCTACCGTCGAATAGTGGGGTTTTCCCAACCAGGTATCTCTTACCAACGGAGTACTGCCCAGCCGGGACAAGCTCTAAGCTCCCGAGCGGACTCCCGTCAAGTGTGGTAGGGTAGTGCATGTGACTCTAAGCACGTATGGGTAAAGGGTGAGGATATGACAAGGAAGAGATAGGAAAGATCGCGCGCGTTCTGCAGCCCGGTACTGCCCGTTTGTTGGGCTGAATTCGACCTAGCTAAGAAGCTAGTGTCGAAAGTCTACCCCCTATCGGGACTCGATCCTTGGACCTCCCGGCCAGAGGCACTACAGTGACATGGGTTGAAGCACTGAGAAGCATTGACTCCCGGTCAATGAACAGTGAAAAGTGTATGTGACGTACGTAGGAGAAGTACAATCTGGTCACGTTCTCGTCAGCTCTGGAATCCCTTCACAACCTCTCCATTTTAACTTTGATTAGTGATTCGAGGCGCGTCAATTGCTGAAGTTTTCTCGTAAGCGTCCTACGTGTTTTATCGCGGGAGATGGTGATCGTCGCCTCCGGATGACGGGCTCCGGCTCCGAATTACACGTCGGCTTCTGGACTATCTTCCAGCAGCGGGGCACCGCGCCCGCCGGGATAAACCCCCAGCTCCCGACAGGATGTGCAGTAGCGTACTTCATGTAATTAAAAGTATGTGTAAGTAAGGGGTGTGGATAGGATAAGAAAGAGGGAGGAAAGATCGCGTGCCTTTCATGGTCTCTTAGGGTTCTGTATTGGCATTCACCTGGTATTAATCGGAGGAACTACGGTTCGGAGAAGCCGGGGACTAGAATGCTCCTCCAGACAGTGACTGAACATGACATAGCTATATGGCTAGTGTCGCAAATCTTCCTACAATCGAGACTCGCACCCTAGGACCCCCCGATCAGAAGACATCGCAAAACATCAGTTGTCGCCCTGATCCCCCTCTTCCAGTACAAAAACACACGAAGGTATGTGCTTCTGTAGCACCGCAAGTGTAAACACGGACAGAGACTTGTGCGTCGCGTGGGCATCCAAAGGATTGACTGTCCCGACCGAGCCCCTTCTCCCCGCGCCGTTACGCTCCCTGGCGGGAAGTGGCCTCATTACGCCTCCCGCCGAGCCTCGCGCCGCGTCGAAAATTATTTCGAGAAAACAGGCGCGCCCGTTGCCCTGCTCCCCTCGCCGGCGCCCTAACGAGATAACGCGCGGGGGCGGGGGCGGGGGGGCGGAGAGACGGCGGGCGAAGCAAGAAAGAGTATGTGTGTGCTGTGTGTTGAGAAGGATCGACTGGGGGAAAGGAGCTCAATGAAAGGAATGCAAAGAACTCGAGAAGGTGGAAAGTGACGCCATAAGTGTTTCTACTAGCATTATGCAATTCTGTTGTTTGAGGTCTACCGCTCGTTTTATAATGATAGTTGTTATGATACAGAATTATTATATTACATCCTCCAACCATAGATAACTACGCAAACTAGTCGTTTAGACTTGTAGGAGTTCATCGTTCTATTGAATGATTCGGGCGATTGTGTTGGTAGTACCGGGACGACCCACCGAACAAACGGGCGACGGACCATGTTTAATCTTTCCTTGCTCTCCCTTGTTCTATCCTCACTCCTTACATACACTAACACGCACTACACAACGATGGGTACCAGTGGGGAGCTTACCAGGCTGGGGCAGTGCCTCGCTGGCGGAGATACCTGGAAGAGGAAATCCTCGTGAAAGTCGACATGTTCGTCAGCGCTGGATCTCATCATCAACTAGGAGAAGAGCACCGCCACCGCCCACGATAAAACATGAACTACGCTTACGGGATTAATGACCATTACACCAGACGAAATAAACAATCAACCGAGACAACTTGCGGGATGCCTATTGCAAAACGCACATGACTTCCTCTATTTGAAAAATCCTATTAATACTCAAGAGCAGACACAGTGCTTTAATGATATTGTTTTAATTTTTGGAGCCTAACTTTACTTTTGCTCTCCGATAGCAAAAGGCAAGAAGTTCTATGCATCGAGGACTATGTTGTCGTTATTAATGTTAAATTTATTCTCATTTTTTTTATCATAAGACATATTATTTCTATTTTCTTATAATAATTTATTTAGTCTCTGGTTTGTACCATCGTTTCTCGGGACCAGGATTATAACAAAAAATTGTTAACAATTTAAAACTATTCAGTAGCATTTCACATAAAAATTGACAGGGGCTTAACCCTATAGGAACAAAAATATTGTTCCACTTTGTTCCTTTGCCAGTACATTAGTCGGAAATAACTTAATTCCCGGAATCATTGATTATATAAACGACAATAATTATTTTTCAATATCAAAAGCATATAAAACGTTAATTGAATTAACTTCATGTTTTTTGATTCCATTTGAGTATTAATATTTATTTCTCCCCGACCTTCAACAGATGTCATTTAATCATTGAGAAGTTTCAAATTTTCATTACAATTGGCGGACAAATTTTGAAACATTTTACCCAATAAATTAATCGCACTAATATGGATGTCAAAACTATTTTATAAATATTCCATTGTCGCAATTTATTTTAGTAATAAAAGTTTTCTGAAATTGATTTAGAAGTTAATGTAACAAGAGTCGGCTTTGATGTTTCCTGCAAAAAATACTTGAATTTAAAAAAATTGTCATTGTCATCATTACTTTATTATATACTTCATACATCACTTCTTCCCCTGTCACCCTTGCTCCTCATGTCTCGCCCTTCACCCTTTTCACCTGGCGTTTTATCAATCAACTTTTGCTCTTTGCAATTCTTTCTTCATTCATCACCTCTTGCAGTTCCCATTTCCCCCTTCATGTAAGGTATTTTTTCTTTCGCATATGCCCCTACGCCAATCACCTCTTGCCCTTCACATCTCACCCTGCACCCAATCCCTCTTCTCTTTCGCATCTCACCATTCACACGTTCCGTCACCTCTTGCCCTGTCCGTCACGATCTTCACTCGTCACCGCTTGCATTCGCATCTCCTCTTGGCCCTCTCGCTTCATCTCGCTGTGTAAAATCTCTGAATGTAGGGCGCCAGCATCGGCACAGTTATTCGACCCTGGCCGGGTGGTTGGCCAGGCCAAAACACACAGGTGGCGGTTCATGTTCTCTCCAATGAGCCAAGCGCAGAGGGGCTGGGCGGAGCGAGGCGAGGAGGGGCGGGGAGGGAAGGAGAGGGGCGGAGCGGGGCGGAGCGGGGCGGAGCGGGGCGGAGCGG